GTGAGTAAAATATGAGATAGAGTAAAGTTTAATGTCTCATGTTGTAATTTACCCTTTTTCCTCCTCTTCTCCACTTTTTCCCTGCCGACCACCACGTCATTTTCATTCCGGCCATTGTCGACCACCGTAGATGGTGGTCGTTCGATCCCAAAACCGTGAATTTGGACTGAAACATTTTGGTTTCCTCACTTTCAATCTCAAATTTGTGGACTTCGGAGCAACTTCCGAGAAAATGGAGGTCAAATTCAAACTCACAACGTTGAGCCGAAGTGACCCATCCCATTTTGGGACCAAACGACCATCATCTATGGCGGTTAACGGTGTCCGATGGTGACATCCGGCTACCTTTTGTTTTAATTTTATTTTTTAATTATTTTATATTAAATAATAATTAAAAAATCAATCGTTAGAGAGAAAACAGGGGAGTGAGCGAAATGATTTAATTTGTAAAGTTTAATAAGCAAATTAGAAAAATTAAAAATTCGATGAGCAAAAATAGGAGAGATAGTAAAGTAGAATTAGAAACCGTGTAATTTTAATTTACCCTAAATGTTATGTATAAACTCTATTGGTTTATCAAAATGAGATGTTAAACCATTTAAACAACGTCTAGAGTTTAAATTATAACATTATAATAAATTGAATGAAAATAATACTCATATAACAAATCACCATGATACTTAATTCAGATTACTAAAAAAATATTAAAATTTAAATATATTTAATATTATATATTTATATGTTACTTCAATAATAATGCTAATAAATTAAATTCAATAAAAAATATACTAAATTTATCGTTATCTTAAAACTAAATGGATAATTTCTTTGACACTTCACTTAGCCTCCATCTCATCTTGTGAATTTATAATAATTTATATTAATTTAATTATTTTATCCCCCAAAAAGGTAAAAACTATTTTGCTTGTTATGGTGCACTTGTGCTTTATTCCGTTTTAGTTGGGTTCACTTCTCAACTCACTTGAAGTTACTAATATGGGTCAATGAAAACATTAAAATTTAAAATAAAATAAATAATTTTTTCATCATAATAATAATATGAAATATAATGTTTACATTCAAACATAAGAGTATCTTATTGACGTTTATAGTCGCACACAATTATTAAAAAAAAGTTGTGTCTGAATTACGATAAAACCAATTTATCAACATGTCACTTGACATTTGTAATATCGTTTTTTTACGCTTGAATAATTTTAAGTGAAATGATTGATTAAATATAATTTAATATATTCTAATTATATAAAGGCTTCTTATAATCTTATTATATTTTCCTTTTGTTTGATAAGATTAATGATTATTATTAGTTAAAAACAAGCATACGAAATAAATAAGCATGCACACATTATGGAATGTAAAAGATCAGCAATAGTTTCCCTTTGAACAACATATCATATCCTCCTTTTTCCACTAAGCCTAGTCAATGACAAATTGAATTACCACCTTAACCAAATCATATTATCTGGATCTACACGAATTGGATTTATGCAAATATTAACATTATATATTCGATGTCCATTTTCATTTTTTATCCGACTGAAAACCCTGCAAACAAAATGATAATTTTAGGAAGCGTTTAAAGAGAATTTAATTGATTTAGGTATTGCGTAATTATAGATAAATATATTAAAAAAAAAGTAACGGGTAAAGATAGGTGAAGGGTGAGAAAAGATATATATGACACATCATTCATAGATGGAAAGCCATAACTGAGAAGAAGAGATTTATGAGAGTCCTTTACTGAAGGGAGTGAAGTTTTCATCTACACAGTATAAAGCGTAGGAAAGTGACAAAAAACAAAGGTGATGGTCCCATGTTCATAATAAATAGGTGGAGATGGCTATCAAAATTTCATGTCAACTTTTCCCACCAACTTGTACTAGCATATTATCCTGCTTTCCAACAGTAACCATCCAGGCTGAAAAATCAAAGCAGATAAAGCCTAGAGGTAAAATGGAGACCAGAAAGGTGTGAGAATGACCTTCAGCTGGGCACTCGACTTTTTTCCACCAAAAAATTTCTGTTTCTTGCTGTACCAAACCACACTTGAATCATTCAAACATTCCATGTTTAGAGAATAACAAAATCAAATTGCAACTAAAATCTCTGAACTCGAATGATGCAAACAAGTCAGTTTCAAACTATTAAACAAACTTCAAATTCGAAAAGGGGGTCCCCATTATGAAGAAAAAAGGACGGGGTAAATGATTTGGTTACTGTGATATTTAGGTGTGGAGGAAAGTCATAAGACAGCCGAAAAGCATATCTTAAGCATTCGAATTTGGATTCTACACGATATCTCTTCTCCATAAAGAATTCATAGCCATCGCAATGTTGCTATCAATCATAAATCATAGGCTAAAAAATTACGTACGCCTCTTTTGTATTAAACAATCGGTTACTGCTACTATTTCATTCCCGGATCTTTCTTTGCTTTCTTGTATTGCTGAAGCATCCTGCAATTTCTCCAAAGTTTCGCTTTTTACTGTAAAACCACGAAAGGGGGGGTTTGCGGGATATGATATGAAGTGACCCAATTCATTGCTTCCTTTTGGGTTTGGTTTATGATTTTGGCCTTTAACAACATCAAAAGGTCAAATATGAAATACCCACATCTCGGTTGTTGTAGGACTCCAGTTCCCTTTTCGTTTGACAAAGGTCTGAGCCGGAGGGTATATCGATAAAGTACGATTCTTTGTCTAAGCAAATTCCACATTGTTTTGTGAAGTATAAGCTGTTTTCAAATGCAGTGGAGAATTAGCTGGGAGTTGAGGCATAATGGTAGTTGCAAAGGTTGAATTTTTTAGGTGATTTTGAAAGTACAAACAGTTGAGGCAACATATGCTTGAGATACAAGTTGGTGGCTGCCGTCCATAGAATATGATCACTTGTAGCAGGAAAATGTTTTTGTGTTTGATAGTTGAAAAATATTTTCTAGAAAATGTTTTCTTATGTTTGATAACTATAATTGGTTTTCTTAATGTAATTGATTTTTTTAGTTCATTTGTATTTTATGTAAGATGTTTTACCATCTGATTTTCGGTAAAATATTTTCATACTTCAAAGTAGAAACATTCAAAAAAATATTATTTTATTTTTTTAATATTAATATAATATGAAAATATTAATTATTAAAATATTTAATATATATAATATAATTTTAATAATATTATATTAACATGTACTTAGTTATATTATAATAATATATTATATTATACTTTTAATTTAATAATATATAATAAATTATTAATATAATTAATATTATCTATTATTTTTATAAATATAATATTATGAAATTATTAATAATGAATAATATTAATTTATATATTTAGTATTAATGTAATAATTTAGTATTATGTTAATAAAATACTAATAATTAAAATTAGGGGTGTTCAAACGGTTAATTCGATTACCGATCGAATCGAATTACTATTAACCGAATTAGTTGAACTTTTTTTAGATGTTAACCGAACTATTTTTTTAAAATATAAATTGAACTGAACTTTATTCAATTTATGTAAAGCGTTTTCTATAAAATTAATTATAGTATACCAAACAATTAGTGAAAAATGATTTACATAATATCATATAATATCATCAAAACACCTTAAAATAGTTTTCGAAAAATATTTCCCAGAAAATATAATTCATTTTACGTAAAACAATTTTTATGTAATCCATTTTACGTAAAAGAGTTTTCATGTAACTCATTTTACGTAAAATAATTTTCAGGTAATTCATTTTCCGTAAATTATTTTTTAAAAAATCAATTACAATCAATCAAATAAACCTTAAAATTTAAAATTTTAGAGTTTAGAGGGTAAAACTTTTTTTTTGAATTAATCACTAATATCCGATCTATTGACAAACTAATCCAGATCGGGTACTGCAGAGGCAAGGACGACCCTCTCAACCCAGTTTGCTCCATTAACAAACGTCATGATTCGAACATTTAACCTTGCTTAAAGGACCTAGTGCCTCGTCCCACTTGATCACTTGGTTGTTGGTTAAAACTTTTTATTTATGTTGCATTTCGTTAATGATTTTCCACACATTATTCTTGTGCTTCACATCTGTAGGAGAACGTTAAAGTACCTTTGACCCTACGATATCGATAAATTATTTCATGGAGTCTACTCGTCGTATTATTTATGGCATCAATAAATGACAGTCACAAATTTTAAAATAAATTTTAAATAATTATCTACTTTTTATTTACACGTAAGAAAGAGATGAAGATTCACATTAGAACAAATGATATGGGCAAATGTTATTGGTTGAGACCACAAATAACGTGATGAGTCGAGACTATCTAATAATTTCTCATACAATACCAAAGTTGCTTCAAATATAGAAAATAATCTTTCTGAAAGAAGAATCTCAAATATGTAACGTCTATAAAAAATTCGCAACTAATTGACGTAGCATCTGACATACCTATGTGATGTATCAAAATCAAATCTATAGCCACTGATCATATTTACCTAGTTTGCTAGCCTATGGGTAGTAATCCCTACAGCTGACACACGCATTAGAATTCATTATAAATTCTCTCGATCATGATCTAAAGATTAAATGTGACCTATGTGAAATCATCTCACTCACACTCACTTCTCCATTTTCTATGAAGATCGACAATATTGACATTGACCAACGATCGATTTATCACTAACTACGACTCTCCTTCTAAATTAAAAGGACGTAACTCATTTTCTCGATCAAAAATTTTAAATTTTAAGATTAAATAGATGATATTATATAAAGTTAAAATGTGTATTAAAATATTACCTTTAGAAATAAAGTCTAAATATGAAACAGCTTGTTACTGAATGAGAAACTTTGGAGTCATAAAACTTTTGCGTTTGCGTCAGGGCCAGCACACAACACTTGGACACACTAAAATTCGTACTATGGCCCGGACAGTAAGGATAATTGCCACTGCCCCTTCATTTTATAAACCCCCCCCCCTCCTCAATTTGAAACGATTACATTTTCCTGCATCCTCTCTTTCCGCTGATTTCTTTTCATACATATGAGAGAAGGAACAACGGCAGCAACAGAAAGACCAAGTATTTCATCATCGGATAGGAGGCGATGGAGAATCACGTTGTTTCACCGCCCCAAGTGGATGCATCTCGACCGTCCCTCGGCTTCCCCCTCGGCACAGCTCTCCTCTTAATCGTCATTTTCAGCTTGAGTGGCATCTTCTCCTGCTGTTACCATTGGGACAAGTTCAGATCACTCCGCCGAGCTTTCGCCGACGGAAACCACCCCGACGCCGACATCGAAGCTTCTCCCTCCAAACCCACCCCTGATTTCATGGTAAATTTTCTCTGTTTCACACCCTTTCATAAAAAAAAGAGATTAGAATTGAAGCTTAGCTTAGTTTCTGTCGTTATCGTATTTTTCAGGATTTGAAGAAAAACCAAAGCCAGAGCATGCCTGTATTAATGCCGGGAGACGATATCCCAAAGTTCATAGCATTACCATGTCCATGTCAACCTCCACGGCAAGACAAGGTGGAAGTAAAAGTTGAGAAGCCGCCGCTTTTTCCAGTTCCTTTCGGATTGGCAAATTAACGAGTTATTGTACATACTGCTGGACCATTTAGATTAATTTTCACCAGTAAAAGAAACGGGAAAATGATGGGTGGGGAATTAAATTTACCGTCTTTTGTATTATTCCCCAGGTTTAAAAAACTAGAGGTAAATTTGTGTAGCCTTTTCACTGCTTACCACGGTTTCATGCCATTATTCCTCACAAGGAAGAAGATTCCAATTGTTGTCAATTGGAAAATGAGACGGCACAATGAAGTTCTTATCCATGAAAGCAAAGATCCAAATGTCAATTCCCTGGCTCAGATCTTTCTGCATAATTTCATAGATTTATGTGCTTCGTTCATTTATTTTGCAGACCCTACCTTAATCCCCAATGTAATGTAATCTATTGCTTGTAATTGTTCCAATATATTTTGTGTTCTCTTTACTTAAACTTTGTGTTCCAACATATTTTAGCAGTTCACGAGTTTTACTATTTGGGGGTTAGCCAGGTGAAGGGAAATAGAGGGAGGAACCCTGTTTTATGGGAAAACAAAGGTGAGCCTGGTCAGTGTGTGAAGAGTAAGCGGAGTTCACGTCTCTGTCAAAAATTAGGCAAACCTGTAGGATTTTTTCTATCAAGCTGGGAGAACTTTACTGATGAAAAAGGTGTAGTCATAGATAACTAAGATTTCCTGGTACTGAATTTTTATAGTACGCATGACCACCTAAGCCCTACGGATCAAAAGATATATGTTCTAATAATTTTTTTGAATAGATGTTTTCTAATATTTTAAAGTGATAACATCATATACTAAATTAAAATCCAATAGGTTATAAATATTAAAATCTAAATGTCCTAGCTTTTTTTTTTTTTGAGAAAAAATGTGAAAGAAAAGTAGTATGTATTGATTTTCAAATTTAAGTGCATGTATGCTTTTTTTTAATAGTACACGTAATTATAGGGTAGTATATCTTTAAAATCTTTTTTAATCATTGATAACACATATTCTATCGATATAATTGTTTGAACCCAAAATTTCTAGAAAGAACATCATTTCCTTTAACAACTAAGATCACTTGATGAATTCTTAATTAATCGACAAAATATTCTTTTAAATTTATAAATATTTAATCACTATGAGTAATACTTAATACTAATATTATTGAATCGTCTCAATGATAAATGATAATATTGTTTGTTCTCAAGGACTCGAATTGAAACAACTTTAAAAGAGTGTATATGTTATAAATATACTTAAAAAATCTAATGATTATTGCGTAAAAAAATTAAAAACTTTGCAATGACAATTTTCAATCTTATTTCCCCTTTTTTTTTATCGTCTTCAACTATCTAATTTTTTTATTCAATCTTGATCGTTAAAAAAATTTAAAACTTAATTTATTAGTTTTTTTAGGTGAGGATGTTGTACACATTTAAACCTAATAATAAAAGGGAATAAAATGAAAAGGAGAGATGACATTTGGCAGCCATGAAGCAGCAGCTTGGGCCATCATGTTCCTTAAAGGTTACAAAGAAAAATGGAGTGAAAGTTAAGATTTGTAAAAACGTACGAATAATAAGCAAGGTGAACCCTATGGAATGAGACCCCATTGCCCACCAAACTTATTTTCACATCCTTTCGTCTATAGATAGTCCTTAGTGGAGTTTAAGCGGCCTTATCCATGATGTGACTTTCAATTTCATTTATCATTAGTTGCAATAAAAGAAAATTATTTTTGGTTATTACAATTGTTTTTTTTAAATAATATTTATTACAATTGTCAATTGTGTCTATGGTACATGGATTAAGTGGGTCGATCATTTTTAAAAAGAAATGAAAGAAAAATTAGGAGAAAGTGAAAACATATATTGGAGGAATTTGGATTTGTGAAAGAGCTTTCAAGTGCACTCTTTGATTAAGTACAAAAGGGGAAATCTCAAGTCTTGAACTAATCACTAAACTAAAGAAACTACCTTTCTCCTTAATCTTTTTCTCTTTCTGTATATTTTTCTATATTGCAAGCCATCTCTCCTAACTTTTGTCTATTAATATAATTTCTTGAAGAAAAAAAAAACTCTCTTTTCACACCAAATAAAAAATCCTTATCCCTTAATTTTAAAATTAACCCTTTTTTATTACTAAATATAGATCTATGCACCCATCACTCTGTGATGTTCATGTGAAAACAGTTCATTGAATTTACATAAACAATTTTGAAACTAATAACAAATAGTGTAACCATACCTCACATTAGTTTATCTTTTGCCAAGAAAATCTAAAAAAAAAATCAATGAAATAATTTATGTATGTTGAACTTACTAGAAAGCATACAAGAACATGAGAGATAAAGGGGCAGATTTGTGGGATATACCGTATTCCCTTAAAAGGAGAAGCATGCATAAGTGGCTGATTTTGTTCCTATTGTATTTGTATCGTATGTTCAAATTCAGCTTTCTGCTGTTTGGGTTTGAAGGGATAAAAGTAGAGACAGATGACATCCCAAACGAATCAAATCAACACAATAAAAAAATGGTACTCTTCAACAATTGCAATCGCTAAAAGTAATAGCATCCTTGTATTTGGTAACTGCCATTTCCAAAATCGTGATAAAAGAAATAATTGTAAGAATATGATGTGTTGTGCGTGCTTGATTCGAGTTTTTATTTCGTCGCCTCCTGATATTATGCTTCTGGGGTCTGATCCTCACCCGAGGCACCTTCGGAAGAACCACCAGCAGAACCAGAGCCTGAACCTGAACCCTAACTCATGTGCTCACCTATCATTGAAGCAGCCTGATATTTTGCGTTTTAGACCCATTATGATTTTTATCCTCCATATCATGTTTCAATGGAGAGTCTACAGATTCGGTTGGAGATTCATGGGATGCAACGCAAAGCACTCAAGCATCTCCTATAGAATATGCAATTGAGGGTGAATGGGATCATATTATATATGGTCAATAAGGTATTGATTTTGGTAGCCAAGTTGAGTCAATGACGACAATGATATCATCAGATACCTTAAGTACTCCATCACCGTAATTCGAAGGTGAATCTCAAAGTGGAGTGATGTTCAGTACAGCTCATGTTCAACAAACAAATGAAGACGAAGACGATCAGGGCGGACGACCACGACATGATGGACGAGCCTCGCGTCATTATCATTCGAGCACTCCTCGACATCTTTAAGAATTACGAAAATATAAATAAAATTTTATTATATATTGTCTTAGTTTGTAAGAACTTTTATTATTATTTTGTATGTATTAAACAAACTTTTAAATTATTTTTTTAATTTAAATTTGACAAAACTAATCACGTCGATATGACGAGTTTCAACGATTAAATTTTTTAAAATTCAAAAGTTGTATGTTTCTCAACGGTAAACTTTTTAAATTAAATTTTAGTGTAAATCGTTACCTCGAAATGACGAGTTTCATAGTTTTTAAATTATTTTTAAATTTATTTACTAAATTTAGAAAAAAAATACTACCTACAAGACTCATCATGTGGATTTGACGAATTTCATGAAAAACACTATAAAATTGACTCACGTAGGGCTCATTAACCTAGGACCATTAAAAATATTTTTTGAATAAACTCATCACATCGACGTAATGAATCTATATTTTATTGTAACAATTGTTGTATATTGAAAAAAATAAATTCTTAAATGTGCTAATTAACTTTTCCACCCTGACCTCTGGGGAAAAACCTTCATGTACCCTCAAGGTAGCCAACCCATTTTGTAAGACTGTCCATAATCCATCTTTATGTTCCATTTTCTTTTTCTTTTTTAAATAAATCTCTCATCTTTGATTTTTTTTTAAAAAAAAAAATTAAAAATAGTAGACGTTGTTATAATTTTTATATCACCCTATCATCGTATGTAAAATTACACGTCATCGATATATTAAAACATTAATGAAAGGTGTGGAACCGTTTTATATCTTTTCGTTCTGTTAAGTTTTAGGGTTTTTAGATTATTATAATTTTATAATTAATATTATTAGTATTAGGATGTATTTTTCAAAAGTAAAAAAAATATATTTTATTAAAAAAATATATAATAAAAATTTCCCCTCTCTATCCACAAGATATTTGACTAATAATAGGATTGAGATATGAAAAATTCAAGAGTTTAAGATGAATTTTTACTGTATGTAAATGTTGTGTAAATTCTATTAATTTATCAAGACGAGATGTTGAATCACTTTAATATCTAGAGTTTAAATTATGATATGATAAATGAAATAAATTAAATTAAAAAATTATTCTTATAATAAATTATTACAATAATTAATCCAAATTATTAAAAATTAAATATATTTTAGTATTATATTTTTATATATTACATCAATAATAATCTTAATAAATTAAATTCAATATTGAGAATCTATTAAATTTATCGTTATCTTTAAATCAAGTGGGTAATCTCTTTGACACTACACTTAGTGGTTATCTCACCTTGTTAATTTATAATGAATTATATTAATTTAAATATTTTATCCAAAAAAGAGAAATTATTTTTCTTGTTATGGGGCACTTGTATTTTTCCCTGTTTTAGTCGGGTCCATTTCTCACCTAACTTGAACATATTAGTGTGGATCAATTAAAACAATCAAAATAAAATAGATAAATTTGTCATCATAATAATAGTATAAAAATATGTTTACATTCAACTTCATTCATGGTGTAACACCCCAACCCGTACCCGACCCGGATACGAGTCCGAGATGTCACATTGACTTTTAAAAACAAAATTCTTAACAAAATACAGAACCTTTGGACTTATATTAAGAAAATACAATTAAATCATGTTTCATTATAAAAATTTAAGGCAAAAACGTATTTATGAACAATATTATACGGTATGAACAGTACCGTGAACAGTAATGAACAATACCATAAACAATGCTACAGTGCATCGATGCATTGCTACAGTGCATCAATGCACTAAAATTTTGAAGCAAAATTGTGCATCAATGCACTGCTACAGTGACTTTCGTAAAATGTACATAAAACTCGTAAAAATTTAACCGTTCATTACTATGCATTTATATTTACATAAATACGTTTAAAACATTACAAAACTCGATCAGAACATAAATACTTAATTTACCGACTTTGTTTACATGCCAACCTATTTAACCCATAACAATACATACTATTTAATCTACTTCTGATCTGACCTTCAAGTGGAGTTATGTTGTTTTGCTGAGCTTATTATGGATCTCTCCGCTTTTCGGTACCTACGTGTAAAACATTTACACGCTAAGTCATA